CTCCCCTCCCCCATCGGGCTGTTATGCCATGACATTTACTAAGTCGTTTTTGCCTAAAAACTGGTATAGACTTCGCACCTTTAGGTCTGGAATGGGGTATGGTTTTCAAGGGAACGACGAAAGTGTCTGAACGCATTATTCTTTTCAATTCAAAATCATAAGAAACTTAGGAGAAATGGATCTTCAGAAATATTTTTGTTCGCGTCTAGTCTAAGTTATTTCAGGTCTGAAAACCGGTCTGGATTTTGGAAGCAAGGTCCTAAAACGATATATGATTTTAGGGTTGTGGTATCGCGCCACACATATGTTAACCCTCGGACGTACAGGGGGGGGGGGGGGGGGGTGGATGCAACCCCCTATAAGTTTTTTCTGAGTTTTTCCTAGAGGATAAAACATCCAGGTTTACAGATGTTACTGAACTCATGTAGGAATCCCAATATTATATAGATGGGGAATGTGGCAAGAAAAGGGAGAGGCGGAAATTTCGTACAACATAAAAACTGGAAAGGAAAAATACTAAGGATATGGATTACAATAATTCGTCACGGCGGTTTAGGCCATGAGGTTCAAGAGTCATAAGTTTTTTATCGGAAGTTTAGTCATTACGAGTGAAAGCCTCTAATTATTCAAGGCATTGTCTCCAAGCTTCATTTGCACGTGAGCAGTAACTAACAATGCATTTGAAGTATGCAAAAATGCTAGCTATTGTTGTGCACGAAACTATGAAACTTGGACACAATACCCTGAATAATGAGAGGCTCACACTTGTAAACACAAAACTTTCTGCCAAATTATTAGCGAATTGTGGCCCTTATTTTACTGCCTTACAATATATCAATAATCTTGAAACTAAAAGGTCATATAAAAGGAAGGTTAATCTCAAGAATCTTATATTTTTTAAAAAGTCTATCGAGCGGTTTAAAAATTATTTGCTAATTTGTTAAAGAAGACCAAAATGTTCAAAAAACCGCTAACAAGAGCGCCTGGATACCTACAAATCAAATCCTTCTTTCTAGCAATCGGCTGGAGCTATCTCCTTGATCCCTCACACGCATTTTTAAAAAGATTGAAACTACTATGAGGTGAAATTGTATGGCAAAAACGCTTCGTTTTCTACAGATAACAGCCGAACATCAAGATTGTCCATTTTTTACCGTATTTCTAACCACAAAATCTTTATCCCAAAATATTTCGATAACGCTCTTACAGATTTCGCTTAAACTTTACGAACATCGAGGCTGCTATTGGAGGAAAA